AATTTTTACCTCAAAATTTCTAGAAGAGCTGTGGAAGATAATTCCAGCAATCAATAGGCTCAGGAAAGGAAACCAAAGGGAAAAGATCAAAAATAAAGCTATGGTGCTTACCAAGATTTAAAAACAGATTGAGCCCCCCAAATCAAATGTATTTCTATGTTCACAGCGTAGTTTTAGAAAGATTATAATTTTTGATCTGGTAAAGACAGATGGGTATGCACTTTTCAAAAATACAGTCCTGTATAATCACACATGCAATGTATGAGTGTATCGTAGTTGTTGGAATTTTTTAAGATTATTTATTTATTTATTTATTTGACATAGAGAGAGCACAAGTAGGGGGAGCAGCAGGCAGAGGGAGAGGGAGAAGCAGGCTCCCCACCGAGCAGGGAGCCCGACACGGGGCTCGATCCCAGGACTCTGGGATCATGAATTGAGCCGAAGGCAGATGTCTAACCGACTGTGCCACCCAGGTGCCCCTAGTTGCTGGAATTCTTTAAAAGTTTTGGAAATCCAATGGTATCTAGTTTAAACGATCATTTCTCTGATCATTAGTGAGGCTGATCATCTTTTCCTGTAAGTAATGAGAATTTTCTCTTCAGTGAACCAACAGTTTATTTCTTTTGCTAATTTTTGACTTTTTAAAAATTCCTTGAAGCTACCTGTGTATTAAAGCCTATCAATTAACTTTCTATATGGGGTCCTTTATTATGCTTACTGACTACTGTAGCCAAGGGTATTTATTAGATAGTTGTAGAGTATAAAGAAAAACCAATAAAGCAAACACCCATTTCATTTTTTCCCCCCAACCCTCACCACAATTTATACTTACAAAGTCCCCAGTATGTCTTTCCCCATTTCAGTTCCTGGACACTCCCCACCAAGTAACTGATTTTTGTCATTCCCACTTAAACCCTAACATTTTGTTTGTATAAGTAATTCACTAATTTTTTTAGCACTATCTAAATAGAATCATAGGGATTCTTCTGCAATTTAGTTTATTCTCTCAATGTCTTGTTCCAGAGATTCACCCCTGTTGTTATGTTTCAGTGTGGTTTATTCATTTTCCCTGCTGCACAGATTCATCATATGAATATACTACAATTCATTTAACTATTCTACTAGTGATTATTCCAGTAGTTATCAGTTTTTAGGTTTTCCCAGATTTTTTTTTTTTTAAATCACACAGTAGGGCTGCTATGAATACTCTTGTACATGATTCTCAGTAGGCAAGTGTAGGACCTGGTTGGGTCATAGTGCATGCACACTTTAAACCTTACTAGATCAATGCCAAATTGTTTCCAAAGAGCTTGCCCCAATTTACACTTCTACTTTCTACACAATGAAAACTCTTCAATCTCTGGTTGTTTCACATAGTTTCCAGCATTTGGTAACATCAGACTTTAATATTTATGGCAATCTGGTAGGTATGAAATGGTATCTCATCTGGTTTATCTCATACTTTCTTGATTACTAATGTAGTTGAACACCTTTCATAAATATTTTGGCCTTTTGGTTTTCATTTTCTATGAAGTGCCTGTTCAGGACATTATATATTATCTCCTGTATTATCTGTCTTTTCCAAGTGATTTATACAAGTTATTTACATAATCTGAATGCTAACTCTACATTAGTTACACAGGCAGTAAATATCTTCTCCACTTTTGTGGGATTCTTCGTGTGTTTGAGAAATAGAAGTTCCTAATTTTAATATCATCTGATGTTATTAATCTTTTCTTTATGGTTTTTTTTCTTTGTGTCTTGTTTAAGAAATCCTTCTATACCCTGAAGTCACAAAAATACTCTATAGAGTCTTTTTTAAAAGTTTAATAGTTTGTATTTTCCAGTTAAGTCTTAAGTTCACCTTGAATGGACTGTTTTGCAAGGTATGGGGGGGTCTAATATAATTTTTTAAAATAGGGATAACCAGTTGTCCCAGAATAACTTGTAAAAAACTCTATTCTTTCTCCACTGATCCACCCATACAGCTGTCATAAAATAAGACATATATATATTTTAGTCTCAGGTATTCCTGGCCTTTTTTCCGTTCTTATAAACTTAGGATCAGCTTATCAAGCTCCACAAAATGTCTGTTGTATCAAATCTTTAGATCAGTATAGACAAAAATGACATTTCTTTCTGCCACTCAGTTTTTTTCAAAAGATAAAGAATTTTTACAGTGAACAAATGTATATCCACTGCCTATATCCTACAATTTCCATTTTACTACATTTGCTTTATCATACAGCCATCCCTCTAGTCATCTATTAATCCATTAATTTTCAAATGCATTTCAAAGTAAGCTGCAGACACTTCACCCTTACACACAAGAAGATATTGATTTTATATATTTATTGTATATCTGGCCACTCAATCTTCTAGATGAATCTTCATATAATCTTTATATAAAGATACTTTTGTCTTTCCTGTTTCAAATTTATACTTATTATTTGATGTTCTTATCTTCCTGCAATTAGAAAATTCTCAAAAACAGACTTGAAAATCGTGATGGTAGTTGGCATTCATGTCAACTTATTCCTAATTTTTGTGCAAATGGCTTAAAATTCACTATTTAGTGGTTGACTGTTGGTAAGTAACCAATCATATTCAGAAAATTTCTTCTAATTCCATTTTACTTTAACAAGTTTTTACTGAAAATGTCTGAAGAATTACACCAAATGCCTCTCGACTTCCATTAATATTATAACACTTCACCTTTCCTTTGTTGATATGATGATTTATATTAGAATTTCTAATGTTGAACTCTTCTTACATTTTCAGAATCAATGCTACCTGATTATGGAATATAATTAACTTGCACTCCTGGATTCAACTGATTAGCATCATATTTAAAATGAATCTACATGCATAAGATTTCCTTTTTCCACACAGTATCAGTTTTTAGGACTCTAGCTACTTAAATAAATGAGAAACACCTTACCTGGAATAACTAGCATAAAATAGAGCCTATTTTTTTTTTTTTTTTTAATAGCTTAGGCGGAATTCACTTATAAAACCACCTAGCTCTGGTGATTTTCTAAATGGAAGCATTTATAAAAACACATTTCATATTTCTGTGATTATTGGTTTATCCAAGTTTTCCTCTTAGACAATTTGAACAGACTAATTTTGTAGGGAACTCCACTTCCTTTAGAATTTTAAATCTACTGAGTTCACATACTATCTTTAAACAAAAATAATTCTGGGGTGCCTGGGTGGCTCAGTCATTAAGCGTCTGCCTTCAGCTCAGGTCATGATCCCAGGGTCCTGGGGTCGAGCCCCACATCGGGTTCCCTGCTTGGCAGAGAGTCTGCTTCTCCCTCTCCCACTCCCCCTGCTTGTCTATCTCTCGCTATCTCTCTCTCTGTCAAATAAATAAAATCTTTAAAAAATAAAAAAATTAATTAAAAAAATAATTCTTTTAATCTCTGTATCTCCTTTCTTATTTCCCATGCTTCTTTTTTTTGTCTATGTCTCTATTTTTTTCTTAATGTGCTCTCCCAAGGGGCTATTCACTTTCAGCCAGAATAATTTGCACACTTTTACTACATTTTTTTGTGGGGAGAGAGGAATTAAGAATTAGGCTTTTCATTTCAATAAAAATTAAATTCAGCTTATATCTCTTACCTGCTTCTTTCTATTTTCTGCTTTTTCCTCCTGCCTTTTAGTTGTTCTGTTCCTATTATAATGAACATTTATTTTCTTTATTTTCAGTCTTTATTTTTAATAGTAAAGGAATTTAAAGCTATACATTTTTCCCCTGAGTACAATATACTGACTACCAATTCAACTTTTGAAAATGTGATCTAAAGAAATGAAAGTGTCAGTATATAAGAATATACAAATGCTTGTTGTAACTTCTTTCACAGGGGTAAGCAAACAAGCAATATACAAAAAGAAACCTACTAGAATATAGCCTCAATGTCCACCAATATTAGAATAATTGCCTCAGTTATATTATATGCTCACTAGATAAGATTCTCTTATCATTTAAATTTGTGTATATTGCCTTAGAGGGATGTCCATAAAATATTATGGAGAAAACAAAACTGCAAAGTCATGTTACTTGTACGATTCATTTTTGTAAAAAATGTATACAAAACACAAACATACCAAAAAGTGTTTTTGTTTTTACATCACACACACACATACACACATGTGCGCATGCATGCATATACACCTAATATATACTCATGTGTATTTCAGATGTGAAAGATAATATAAACAAATTTACTTGATTACTATGAAGGGACACATCAGACATGGTAGGAAAAGAATGAACCTAATCTTTATACATCTCTGTATCATTTAACTTGTTTAATGAGAATTTATTACTTCTATAAATTAAAATGACAAAAGTCTATTGACATGACTACTAAATTTTGGTGTTAATTCTAGGAGCTTATTCTAAAATTTAATTGATTAATCTCTGTATTATCTTTATCATAGATTTCCCATTTTTGCAATATATCATTACTGTGAAAATTTCTTCTAAATAAAAACCAAATAATGGTTTAAAACTAACACTGCTTTCATCTTCATACACACACACACACACGTATCTATATATATGTGTGTATGCGATGCATTTTTATAGATATTATATACATACATATTTTTACATATATATTATATACACTTTTTTTTCTTTTCCTAATGTGAGTATGTTAGTGTTTATTGAAACTCTGGGCTGCTATTCTACAAAATCTCTAGTAGGGCCTCCTGAAGAATTTCCTTCAATAGTAATAAACTTGTGCACAGCTGAAGAAGTAAAAATACTAACCTGGTAGGAAAAGATAGATAGATAGATAGACAGATAAATGGGAGAGGCATGTGCTCTTATCCCACAACATAAAAAGAAAGCAATATTAATTATTAGGTGTGAGAAGACAAAGGACTTATGACTATGACAGAAAAAGCTATTCTTAATATTGCACAAATCAAGGAGTTAGTGAAATTAGACAAAACAAAAGCAAAACAACAATAAAAATCAACAGTACCTTTTTCTTGTGATATTTTCTTGGTGGTGACTTGATGGTGGCATGGAGATTCTTCCATATCATGATCAGATTTTGAAGGAGAGGAGAGTGAAGTGTCTCCCCAAATAAGGGAGGAATGCTCTTTTTCCAGGCACAGTGGTCCCTCTTGAAATTCAGCTATGTGGTCAGACGAGAAGGGCACACTGCCAGCCACTGGAGTGAGGGATGGAGCACCAGAATCTGATTCTGGAGAAGTTCTCAAACCCTTGGGCAGAAGTGATTTGGTAATGTGTGTGTGGTTATAGAAACTGTTTGAAGGCTGTTGGTATAAGAGATTATAAAGGAGGTTATGCCGCTGAGCATCAGCTCCATGGAATACTTACTTTGAAATCAGACCAAACTTTTTTTTAGTAAATCCCTTGAAAACCAGTTTTTTGGGGGGGTTTACAGATGAGACTGCATAGTTTACAACAATTCACCATATTACCACGGTAGCTAAGACAGACACCTAAGACATACAGAAACAATTACTTGTACATTCCTTATTTCCCACTAGGTAAAACCAACAGCTGAATATAAAAGCACCATTATGAAATACGACAATATGGATAATGCTCTTGGGTTAGTTCATTGAATGAGTACAGAAATAAGCTGAATTACAATATATCGAGTTGAGTAAGAATTTAGGAGACAAAGCAGTGAACTATTCCAGCTGTTTCCATCTAGGGCACAGAATCTGGCTGCAGAAAAATCATCTTCAATAAGCTGTAGGAACAAGGAGACAGCTCTACACTGCAAGTCAGAAATCAGTCAATGGGGCTCACCTTTCGCTCCAGACTGTCTTCCCCATCTGTTGAACTGACACTATCATAGAGTCTTGTCCTAGAGGGCCTCTGGCGTCTGTTCTTCACAGAGAGCTGGGCTCGGGTTTTCAGTGCTTTTGAATCCAGGCGCTCTGTCTCTGGGACGGCCTCATTCAAGTCTAAGAAAAGAATGAAGCAAAATAATCAGCGAGAGAAACCTTTGGAGAGGATCGTCAAAGAGACCACAGACACTGATAACAAAAATCTCAACGTTATTAATAATTCCAGGCAAAAAATAGGTGACAACCATGCTGGCCTGATACCCCACAGGTAACCAAGAAATCAAGTGAGATTTAGGAGAAATGTACAAGGCCTAGTGGAAGAAACCAACACCAAAGGTGACCAAAGCAACAAAAAAAATCTAACATCCAAAGAGCCAGCGTGGTCCTCTGTGGTCTGCCTCTCACTACCTTTAATCTTGCTGCACTGAGTCCAAGTCAGAACTCCAAGTCACCATTCCAAAGGGGAGAAGGAAAGGTTACCCATCGATCTATGTAGGGGTTGGCTGAGGAAAAGTTGTTCTCTGGTTGAATTTATCTGGAATGCTTCTGCTCCTTAGAAATAATGTAGTTTGACCATCAATCCTATTTTATCTTTTCAGAGTGGCAGTCATTAAATGGAGTCATAATGTTCACAGAATCAATAATTAAGTGCTTCCGGATTTAAAGTGTTAAAAATAAAGCATATAACTGAGTTGCAGAAAATTAATATGTACTGGTATTAATGGAGTAAAACAATTTCTTACAGTAGCATTACTGGAGGAAATTCCTTTTCACAGTATTATTATGAAGGTGTGCTCTAAATATACTGTAAGACCAAAACAAGGAAGCATCTCAGGCTGTCTCTCTCTTACCCATGGAACTCTGCATTTGGCATATGGTTCTAACAAATTATATTAGACATATTTTCCCTAGGAGATACATCCACTGAATGACAATATTTACAGAAGGTTCTGACTCTTCATTTCCTGTATTTGCAAGAAAAGTGAATAGTCAGAAAAGTCAGACTATTTAGGTATTTATAAAGGACGGCTAAATATTTTCTAATTAGTGCTCTCTTTATTGTTTACATGTCAATGGAGAAAAAATAATCTCCTTGATCACTTTAATTTCTTCCTTTCAATAAAATCTAAACTTGCAGCTGCCGATTAAGAGTTCATTAGTTGTGATAATTGGGAGATAATCAACCTTACAAGCTCTTGTTTACATATAAAATGTGGGAACACCACACAGATGAAAGCAATAATATAATCAGATAGACTGTCATACAAGCCCGTTTCACAGTTTATCTATCTTGTATTTGGATTGTATCTTCTGTAACACAAAGCACGGTCACATACACACACACACACACACACCACCTGTGTTCCTCACAACCCCACGCTACAGAGCTGCCAAGTTATATTTTATCCTCTCCTGAAGTTCAGAGAACTTGAGGAACTTGCCCTCGTCGGCACAGCTGGCTGATGAGCTGCCATGATTTTTCTTGTTTTTTGACACCCAGGCTACTAGTCTGTGCCCTCCAAATTTAGCTAGGGTTGAACAAGTTACTAGAAAAAGAATTTTCCTGCCCTTACAGTTCAGTATTTTTGGTTGTAAAATCACATATAATGTGACTAATCTAGGAAATTCATTTCTCCAATTGGCTACATATGAAATACTCTTATTAAACTTCCACATACATGTTAAGAAAGCATAAAAAGGAAGACATGTTGAAAACTGCAGAAAAAATTATTTCTCAGATTTCTTATTTGGTTGGTTTATAACAGCTTTGGTTACTTGGTGATGAGAAGACCAAGGAGGAAGCTTGTTCTACTTTTGTAAACATGGCTCCTTTTGCAATAGAAGCCTGGCCCGGGAGGATCTAACATAGCACCCAACATCCAGGATTGCAGTAACTACTCCATCACTAGGTACTGAACAAATATAGTAAGGGAACATGAAAGCTACTTATTAGCAGGGTTTAGAGTGTGGAGAATTTATTCTGGGACTTCTGGCTCCATTAACTACTCAGTAATTTGCCTGGTACTCATATCAAACAACCCCCAAAGCAACCTAGAATATCTGCTTTAATATCAGCTAGCACTGAGTAAGTGCAAACTGCTGGAGCACAAATACAGAATTACATCTATTAAAGATGAAGTTAGCTGGAAAAGCAGTGCCTTAAGTCCATTATCCAAGTGGCCAGCAACACACTGCAACCAATTAACAATTTTTGAGGACCCAAAAACAAAGTTCTCGGGGTCCTTTTATAGAAGTGATTCATGAATTACAAATCAGCAATTTATATATTCCACCCTGAGAACAAATGTTTTTTAAGTAAAGAACCAGAAAAATGGAATGGAGCGGAGAACTTTACTTTGCAACAGCAGGAAGTTGGAAGGAAAGCCGTCCACAGGAAGCAACTACTGAAGACACCACAAGCTCCATCCCCCTTAGGAGTGTTAGAGGACGCATACGGCAGAGAAGGAAAATGTGCATAGAACTTAGGTGGTTGGGGAACCAGAGGCTATCTTTCTCTATCACGTTGTATAAGAATCAGAATATTACAACTCAAAAGAACCTTCGGGATTCTATCCCAGCCTTCTTTTCCAGATAGGAAAAACAAGGCTCAAAGAAGATTACTAACTTGTTTACTAGCTGCATCACACAGTTAATCTGTGGATGAGACTGGATAGAGCTCAGTCCTCAGAAGTCTATCATCTGGGGGAGCCTGGGTGGCTCAGCTGGTTAATCTTCAGACTCTTGATTTCGCCTCAGGTCATGATCTCAGGGTCCTGGGATCCAGCCCTGTGCCAGGCTCTGCGCTCAGCACAGAGTCTGCTTGTCCCTCTCCCTCTGCTCCTCCCCCTGCTCTCTCTCTCTTTCAAATAAAAAAAAAAAAAAAAAACTTTTTTAAAAAAAAGCACTTACCATCCTTCTGGAAGGTCACTCTCAAGTCTGAAAGTAAACTTCACAAGTAATCTTTTGCCTTCGTCGAGTCTTTGTTTTAGTTTTACTTTATGTTCCAAACAAAAACACAGGTCAGGTACTAACTTTGCACATTTCCAGAAGTATATAGTATCGAAGAAAGAAAAAAACCTGAGGGATTTTATTTGGTTTTATATTTATCCAAGGAGTAAAATTCTTACATCAAAAAATTAGCTGTCAGTTTTGAGGATGACAATGTGGCAGAAGAAATCCAACTGGCTCCACATTGCTAAGTTATATGCTACTGAATGTAAGGGCTTTGGTGGCCATGTTCTCTCACTGTCATCACTCTCTGCAGAGACCTTAGTCAATAACCTAACACCGCTTTTATAAACCCAAGACGCTGGGTTCTTCTACCACTTCTCCTCAGGCCATTGTGTTCTGTTGTCCGTAAGAATCAGAGGGAAATTTCCTTTTCATCTCTCCTTTCCTTCTCTCCTCTTTTTTTTCAGACCCTCCAGTCTCTGAAAAAAGCCTACCTCTGACTCAAATGCAGCTAGAAACACAAAAGATGAGCAGACTCTAGTAGACTGATAAATACAGACAGACAAACACATGAAGTGGTTGAGGATAGAGTGGTGTTGCATGGGTGGGACTCCACCCTAGTGTACCTGCATTTGAAGACTAGCTTCAATAGTCCCTCGAATTGCATCCTTTAAAAAAATTTAATGGATTCGATTATGATTTTAGCAGCTGTTATGAAAAATATTCTGTGAAATTAGGATGTTATATATCCTATTACACAGCAACCAGTTCCCTACAGTAATGCTGTGAGTCATTCAGTATTTTCACCAGATTGACGTTATTTTTGATGCAAATGGAATGCTGCCCACAGATCAGATAGAGATGGCAAGGGAAGGAGGGGAAGGGAGCAGCAGGACGACGGGGGCTGCTCTGCATTCTTACGGGCATTATTCTCCTCAAAACCAGTCCTACTTCTATTATCTCACTTATGCTATTATCAACTACAATGCTGAGCATCATGAGACACTTGGTGGCATTTTAAAACTTGAACAGTAGCTGCATATCACTCACAGTCACTGCAAGTTCACAGAAGGTGGGCCCGTGGGTTTGCGGTTGATACGTCCCGCATGCAGACGTTGGTTTACGTATATTGAAGAGGTGGTTTAAAACAGTTACCATGAGAGTGATCTGGAGTAAGTCTTCCTCAAACAAAATCCAGATAGTGGCTCCGCCATTAAATTGGGCAATTTCCCTAACCTCTCCGTCCCTCAGGATCCTCAACTGCAAAATGGGCACAATGATAACACAGCACTAATAACTGCATTGCTGTGAGGACCAAATGCATTAATAGAAATACAATGCTTGGAAGAGTGACTGTGACATAAGCACCCAATGAATGTATTTATTGATGTGGAAAGGTTAGCAAGATATTCTTACACGACTACAGCAAGTTGCTGAACCATATGTACATTCATTTTAAATATTTTAAAAAGAGCAACATAAAATATATTTTCTAATGATAAATTGATGCCTATGATTTAAGGAGAAAGATACTGACGATGGTGGTTACCTCCAAAGAAGATATTAGATTTGGAGATCTTGGCCAACAGGTACTTTAAACTTATTTGTAATGTTAAATATTTTTGTATTATACATATTTTTTTTGCATTTAATATATTACTTATATGTTTAAAATTAGTAAAAAACAAAACAACAACCCACATATTTAGTACATTTTCTTTTACAGACATCTTAATTCCATTCTAATCCGAGAGCTCTGGTGTTTTCGGACTCAGGATTCCCAGATGTTGATATTAGTCCGGGAAACTTTGTCCAAATCCTTGTGACTGTCTCACTGCCCCATGTGAGAAGGCTGCTCTTTCAATTAGGTCCGTGGAGACTGTTTGCCTGCCTTGCTACTCCACTAACGGCCAGATGATCTGGCTTGATTAGGGCCCTATGGCTTAGCTTCCAGTCACTACTTTGTTTTAGCATGGCACGGCAAAGATGTATTGACTCGGATACGGTAATTTGAGACCAAGTTACACAACTTCATCTCATCTCATGACAGCACTTTACTTAAGAACCCACCCGCAGGCAACTCTCACCCTGAACTCTATTAATTTAGTTGCTTTCCTTATAATTGCCTAAAAGCTAATATATTTTATATCCCAAGTAGTATTTAT